ATACCTCAAGCTGAGTCAGTAACAAGTGACTAAACGGTTCACCACTGTCACATACCTCTAGCTGAGACAGTAAAAAGTGTTTAGACGGTTCTCCACTGTGACATACCTCTTGCTGAGTTAGTAACAACTTTGATGACGGCTGACTACTGTTCCATACCTCTCGCTATGTCAGTTACAAGTGACTTGTTGGTTTGCCACTGTGACATACCTCTAGCTGAATCGGTAACAAGTGACTAGAAGGTTACCCATTGTAACGTACCTCTAGCTGAGTAAGTAACAAGCGACCGAACGTTTCACAACTGTGAGATACCTCTAGCTGTGTCAGTTACAAGTGACTAGAAGGTTACCCATTGTAACGTACCTCTAGCTGAGTTAGTAACAAGCGACCGAACGTTTCACAACTGTGAGACACCTCTAGCTGAGTCAGTAACAAGTGACTAGACAGTTCATCACTGCCACATACATCTAGCTGAATCAGTATCAAGTGACTAAAAGGTTCACCATTGAGACATACCTCTAGCTGAATCAGTACCAAGTGTCTAGACGGTTTACCACAGTGACCTATCTCCAGCTAAGTCAGTAACAAGTGACCAGATGGTTTCCTACAGTGATATATACCTCTAGCTGAGGCAGTAAAAGTGACTAGATGTTTCACTACTGTGAAATAACTTTAGCTGAGTCGGCAACAAGTGACTAGATGGTTCACCACTGTGGCATACTTCCTGCAGATTTGATAACAAGTGACCAGGTGGTTCACCACTGTGACACATACGTCTAGCTGAGTCAGTAACAAGTGCCTAGACGGCTGACTACTGTGATATATATCTCTAGCTGAGTCAGAGACAAGTGACCAGACGGTTGACTTCTGTGACATAACTCTAGCTAAGTCAGTAACAAGTGATCAGACTTTTCACCACGTTGATATACCTCTAACTGAGTAAGTAACAAATGAATAGATGGTTGATCTTTGTGACACACCTCTAGTTTATTCAGTAAAAAGTGAGTAGAGGGTTTACCACTGCAACATACCTCTAGCTAAGTCAGTAATAAGTGACTGGACGGATGACTACTATGACATACGACTATCTGAGTCAGTAACAAGTGACTAGTTGGTTCACCACTGTCACATACCTCTAGCTGAGACAGTAGAAAGTGTTTAGACGGTTCACCATTGTGACTTACCCCTAGCTGAGTCATTAACAAGTGACTAGACTGTTCACTACTGTAACATACCTCTAGCTGAGTCAGAAACTATTGACTAAACGGTTCACAACCGTGATATACCTCTAGCTGAGTCAGTAACAAGTGTCTAGAGGATTTACCACTGTGACATACCTCTATCTGAGTCAGCAATAAGTGACTGGACGGATGACTACTGTGACACACGTCTATCTGCGTCGGTAACAAGTGACTAGTTGGTTCATCACTGTGACATACCTCTAGATGAGACAGTCAAAAGTGTTTAGACGGTTCACCACTGTGACTTACCTCTAGCTGAGTCAATAAGAAGTGCCTAGATGGTTCACCACTGTGTCATACCTCTAGCTGAGTCAGTAACAAGTGACTAGACGGTTTACCATTTTGATATACCTCTGACGTAGTCGGCAACAAGTGATCATATAGCTCACAACAGTGACATACCTCTAGCTGAGTCAGTAACATGTGACTAGATGGTTTAACACTGTGACATACCTCTAGCTTAGTGAGTAACAAACGACTAGATGGTTGACCATTGTGATATACCTCTAGCAGAGTCCGTAACAAGTGACTAGAAGGTTACCAATTGTAACGAACCCCTAGCTGAGTTAGTAACAAGTGACTAGATGGTTCAATGCTGTGACATACCTCTAGCTGAGTCAGTAGCAAGTTACTAGATGGTTTACTACTATGACATACCTCTAGCTGAGTCAGTAACAAGTGAGTAGATGGTTCACTATTTTGATATACCTCTAGCTGAGTCAGTAACAAGTGATCATATAGCTCACCACAGTGACATACCTCTAGCTGAGTCAGTAACAAGTGACTAGATGGTTCACTGCTGTGACATACCTCTGGCTGAGTCAGTAGCAAGTTACTAGATGGTTCACTACTGTGACTTACCTCTAGCTGAGTCAGTAACAAGTGACTACACTGTTGACTACTGCAACATACCTCAAGCTGAGTCAGTAACAAGTGACTAAACGGTTCACCACTGTCACATACCTCTAGCTGAGACAGTAAAAAGTGTTTAGACGGTTCTCCACTGTGACATACCTCTTGCTGAGTTAGTAACAACTTTGATGACGGCTGACTACTGTTCCATACCTCTCGCTATGTCAGTTACAAGTGACTGGTTGGTTTGCCACTGTGACATACCTCTAGCTGAATCGGTAACAAGTGACTAGAAGGTTACCCATTGTAACGTACCTCTAGCTGAGTAAGTAACAAGCGACCGAACGTTTCACAACTGTGAGATACCTCTAGCTGTGTCAGTTACAAGTGACTAGAAGGTTACCCATTGTAACGTACCTCTAGCTGAGTTAGTAACAAGCGACCGAACGTTTCACAACTGTGAGACACCTCTAGCTGAGTCAGTAACAAGTGACTAGACAGTTCATCACTGCCACATACATCTAGCTGAATCAGTATCAAGTGACTAAAAGGTTCACCATTGAGACATACCTCTAGCTGAATCAGTACCAAGTGTCTAGACGGTTTACCACAGTGACCTATCTCCAGCTAAGTCAGTAACAAGTGACCAGATGGTTTCCTACAGTGATATATACCTCTAGCTGAGGCAGTAAAAGTGACTAGATGTTTCACTACTGTGAAATAACTTTAGCTGAGTCGGCAACAAGTGACTAGATGGTTCACCACTGTGGCATACTTCCTGCAGATTTGATAACAAGTGACCAGGTGGTTCACCACTGTGACACATACGTCTAGCTGAGTCAGTAACAAGTGACTACTGTGATATATATCTCTAGCTTCAGAGACACTTCTGTGACATACTCTAGCTAAGTCAGTAACAAGTGATCAGGCTTTTCACCACGTTGATATACCTCTAGCTGAGTAAGTAACAAATGAATAGATGGTTGATCTTTGTGACACACCTCTAGTTTATTCAGTAAAAAGTGAGTAGAGGGTTTACCACTGCAACATACCTCTAGCTAAGTCAGTAATAAGTGACTGGACGGATGACTACTATGACATACGACTATCTGAGTCAGTAACAAGTGACTAGTTGGTTCACCACTGTCACATACCTCTAGCTGAGACAGTAGAAAGTGTTTAGACGGTTCACCATTGTGACTTACCCCTAGCTGAGTCATTAACAAGTGACTAGACTGTTCACTACTGTAACATACCTCTAGCTGAGTCAGAAACTATTGACTAAACGGTTCACAACCGTGATATACCTCTAGCTGAGAGTCTAGAGGATTTACCACTGTGACATACCTCTATCTGAGTCAGCAATAAGTGACTGGACGGATGACTACTGTGACATACGTCTATCTGCGTCGGTAACAAGTGACTAGTTGGTTCATCACTGTGACATACCTCTAGATGAGACAGTCAAAAGTGTTTAGACGGTTCACCACTGTGACTTACCTCTAGCTGAGTCAATAAGAAGTGCCTAGATGGTTCACCACTGTGTCATACCTCTAGCTGAGTCAGTAACAAGTGTACAAGTTTACCATTTTGATATACCTCTGACGTAGTCGGCAACAAGTGATCATATAGCTAGACATACCTCTAGCTGAGTCAGTAACATGTGACTAGATGGTTTAACACTGTGACATACCTCTAGCTTAGTGAGTAACAAACGACTAGATGGTTGACCATTGTGATATACCTCTAGCAGAGTCCGTAACAAGTGACTAGAAGGTTACCAATTGTAACGAACCCCTAGCTGAGTTAGTAACAAGTGACTAGATGGTTCACTGCTGTGACATACCTCTAGCTGAGTCAGTAGCAAGTTACTAGATGGTTCACTACTATGACATACCTCTAGCTGAGTCAGTAACAAGTGAGTAGATGGTTCACTATTTTGATATACCTCTAGCTGAGTCAGTAACAAGTGATCATATAGCTCACCACAGTGACATACCTCTAGCTGAGTCAGTAACAAGTGACTAGATGGTTCACTGCTGTGACATACCTCTGGCTGAGTCAGTAGCAAGTTACTAGATGGTTCACTACTGTGACTTACCTCTAGCTGAGTCAGTAACAAGTTACTAGATGGTTCACTACTATGACATACCTCTAGCTGAGTCAGTAACAAGTGACTAGATGGTTCACTGCTGTGACATACCTCTGGCTGAGTCAGTAGCAAGTTACTAGATGGTTCACTACTGTGACTTACCTCTAGCTGAGTCAGTAACAAGTGACTAGATGGTTCAATACTGTGACATACCTCTAGGTGAGTTAGTAACAAGCGACTAAACGGTTGACCACTTGACATATCTCTAGCTGAGTTAGTAACAAGCGACTATACGTTTCACCACTGTGACGTACCTGTAAGTGAGTCAGTAACAAGTGACTCGACCGTTTAACATACTGACATACCTCTGGCTGAGTCAGTAACAAATGACTAGACTAGCTTCTTTTGTGAGTAGGAAAAATGAAGTTCAAGGTATTTAACGAATAAAGTAATCTTGTGCGTCGTTAGCCTTTCCGAATTTTCATATCATATTTTTAAACAAAGTATTTTATTAATTATAGAAGAAAGCCTTCTTTATTATCTATACTGTAAATAGTAGTCTAGGTAACATATAACACAGATAAAACCACAGGTAAATGAACTCAGGTGGAATGTATGGTTAGTTTGAAACTAACATTAATTGGTTTGCCATAGTCTTCATAAAAAACACCGCCCTCCTTTGTCTTGTGAGAAGTAGGCAAATTGAGAAACTATTTTTTTTCTTAATAGGTTTGTAAACAATTCATATCATATTCACCTATCATTGCTTAATTGACTTAAGCTTACGGTGGCTAATTATATTGTTAACTATTCAGTGATGGTAGAGTTCAAAAGTGAGAAAATGCAGATGGAAACCAGGAGAAGAATATTACTCGACCCAAGCAGGTACGAAATTTCTGAAGAAATAAACACTTGTCAAAGAATTTAACACATCTGATTATTTGGGATATAGTAACATCCAAAAATCAAATGTAATGACAGGTGATACTTCAGTGTTACTGTAAAGTGGTGATACTTCAGTGTTACTATAAATTGGTGATACTTCTGTGTTACTATAAAATGGTGATACTTCAGTGTTACTATAAAGTGGTGATATTTCAGTGTTACTATAAATTGGTGATACTTCTGTGTTACTATAAAGTGGTGATACTTCAGTGTTACTATAAAGTGGTAATGATTCAGCGTTACTATAAAGTGGTGATATTTCAGTGTTACTATAAAGTGGTGATATTTCAGTGTTACTATAAAGTAGTGATATTTCAGTGTTACTATAAAATGGTGATAATTCAGCGTTACTATAAAGTGGTGATATTTCAGTGTTACTATAAAGTGGTGATACTTCAGTGTTACTATAAAGTGGTGATACTTCAGTGTTACTATAATATGTTCACTTGTACTTTGAAAAGAATTCGTGCTGAGTAGTGTCATCAGAGTGTGACGGGTATTCTGTTATATACTCACAAATACATAACAACCCAAAGACTATGAGTTTGTTTAATCAACTGATATGAACGTCGAAAGACACCAACTTATCTTTATTGGGATAATACCCACTAAGAGTTATCGTTCTTTAATTGCTTTACTCCCAGAATGTTTAATGACATTAAGGAAAATCTGTCATTTTGGTTCAACATCAATTTTCACTCTTTTCCAGCATTTTTTTAGCAACCAGGGACTAATACTTTGATAACAAAATAGTATAAAGATGGCCTACTCCAGTACAGGTATTAGATCAAAACAGAGAGCTCTCAGATATTACTAATTACACATATGTCAGTTTTCCAAAGTAATCTGCCTGTACTATCACACGGTGAGGAAAACTGGGGAGACCGACTGCACTGAGTGCTTACTACTTAAAATTTAAAAAAAAAAGTATTGAAAGTGCATAGCATTCACGGAGAGATATAGCCTGTCGTAAATGTTTATGGACACCATGGATTGTAGTCTTGACGCTATCAGCAAACGCCTTGATGTGGGAAAACAAAGCTTTTCAACACAATATAATCATGCAAATATGGTGAGATATTAACCGTGACTTTAGTGATATCAGCCTTTTAACACATTTATTGTCGTAGTCTTGTCGCCTGTTGCTTTCATCAAAAGCATTGATGTGAGAAAAACATAACGATATCATCATTTATGGTTTAAACATGTTTTATTGCACATAATTATGTAGCAAAAGGATATAGGATTGGGCACAAGTTTTCGTGTTTCTAATTCTTTACTACTTTTTCACAAACACACTCATAGTGGCAATTCCATTTACAGCTAGCATAAATGAGCACTCCAAAATGCCTATGAGAGTCAATCAATGAAATCAATACTAGTATTCTTAAAAACAAAATTCAATGGAAAGTCTTTATTAGAAATATGCAACACTTCTGTTTTGTGGGATTAAATTAAGCAACCAATTATCTGACCGTTATTGATTTTTTACGAGATCATAATTAATATTTTGTTTAATTACTTTAGGGGAGTAGTCCGAACATAGAAATGAAGTGTCATCTGCGAAGAGGTTAGATTAACTTACTAAGTTGTCTGTTATATAATTGGTATAGAGTATATCCTACGACTCGTGCACAGGAGACTGGAAATATTAATCCCTCACCCGGAGTTCCACGGTCCTTCCGGAGCATATTAAAATTCTCTAAGAGTATGTCATCGTCAGCTATATGTAAATCAAGGTGAGCAGACATGGCTAACTCCTTTATCGGGTGGACTTCTGTTGAAGCGTATATTGATTTCAAAAAGTTTTTGGTTGGGGGGGGTGGGCTTTTCTATAGAAGGAACACTTTGGTTGCTGTTTTCTTCGATTTGGAAAAGGCTTACGACACAACGTGGAAATGCGGTATAGGGAAAGATCTGCATGATATAGGTATTAAAGTTAATCTACCCATTTTTATTTCAAATTCAATTCAATGGAACGACCCTTTTCGATGTTCATCAGCAGAAAATGGGTGTACCACAATGCAGCATTCTTTCGGTTACCCTTTTTCACTTAACATTAACAGTATTGTCAAAACATTATCCCCTTCAAAGGAGGGCGCTCTATATGTCGATGACTTCATCATATGCTATCGATCTAAGCATATGAATACCATCGAAAGATAACTACAACAATGTTTGAATCGACTACAAATTTGGGCAGATGAAAATGGTTTTCAATTTTCAAAATCAAAAACAGTTTGTATGCATTTTTGTAAAATTCGGAAACAACACGACGATCCAAATTTGTCTCTCTGTGGTGTACCCATTCCGGTTGGTATGCAAACCAAATTCTTGGGTGTAATATGCGACAGGAAATTGTCGTTCCTTCCACATATAATATACATAAAGCCAAATCCCCTCAGGCACTGAATATTCTAAAGGTTGTCTCGCACAACGATTGAGGAGCTGACAGAAAAGTTTTGCTTATACTCTATAGAGCTCTTATTAGATCAAAATTAGACTTCGGTTTCATTGTGTATGGGTGTACTAGACCTTCATATCTCAAATTATTAGACACTATTCATCACCAAGGTCTCAGGCTCGCTCTCGGAGCTTTTAAGATCAACCTACAACAAGCCTCTATGTAGAGGCTAACGAACCATCACTATATAGCCGTCGAAATAAATAGGCTTTGCAATACACCATTCAGCTAAAGTCAAATCCTTCAAATCCTGCTTTTTCACTTGTATTTGATCCAAAATATAAAACCAACCAAAAACCATTCCATCATTTGGTATTCGAATTTCAGCTCTTTACAAAACACGAATATTGACATTGACCAAATTCAGTCATTTGGAACGATAGAAATTCCACCCTGGCTCATGAATACACCTGAAGTTGACTTTTCACTTCAGGAAATGGTTAAATCAGACACATCCAGAGTTCATCCTGCTCGAAATTGCAGTAAAAACATAAAACATTCATACATTTATATACTAATGGTTCAAAAGATAATGATAAGGTTGCTGCGGCCACGGTTACACAAGATGAAACCTGTGGATGCCGGCTACCGAACAACGCCTCAATATTCTCGATGGAAGCGCGAGCTATCTACCTCGCCCATGAATATATTCAAAGAAACAGAGTAATTAGAGCTGTTATCCATTCAGACTCTTTCTGTTCTACAGAGTCTTAGCAATAGAAATGTTGAAAATATTTTCCTTCGTAATAGTTAATACTATATCATGAACTTTCGTATTGCTTTTTGCTGGGTTCCTGGGCACATGGGAATACCAGGCAATGAAAAAGCAGATCGTGCCGCAAAGGAAGCTTTATCGCTACCACCTGTTGTTTTTAGACTTCATTTTACCCATTTTAAACCATTTATTAAACAAATTTTAAAAGCTCAGTGGCAGGAGGAATGGAATACATATACCAATAACAAATTGCACTCTGTTAAACCTGTTATCGGTGAAAGGTTTACAGGCTATAGAGACAACCACGTCTTCGGATAGGTTATACATACCTTACGCATTTATAGATGTTGAAAGGCGAATTTAATCCTCGGTGCATAGGATGTGATGAGCCATTCACCTTTAAACATTTTTTATTGGACTGCATTGACCTTCTGTCTACACGAGAATGTTTTTATCGTAACATTACATGTCTAAAATCCCTTTTGAAACTGTTGAGATTTGTAAAATTCTACATTACCTGAAAGATGTTGGTCTATATAATAGACTATGACGTACCATTTTAATCTTTTGTGTTAACATACCCATTGAAGATTTTTAACATTTGTCTTTTACCTTTTGGTTTGTTTAATGTTATTCCGTTTTGGATCGCTGTGTGTTTTACCGATTGATGTCCCTAATGACCTTTTATGTGTTGACGGGCCGTTACGAATGTAATAATAATAATTGTATTTTGGGAGACTCTGTAGGATGAATTGTAAATATTTATCACATGAAATATTTCTTACATATTTATTTATGTATCGTATACTTGAGTATCGTCAAGGTGGATTTATTCCCGATATATACAAATACCGGTCAAATATGATTTGTTTGACTTTTTACTTGTGTATTTAGCAAACGCAGTTTTTTCCGAGCAAGTCGCAATGGAAATCGTATGTATATAAAGCGGTATATAGATTTGAAGAATTAACAATGTGTAATAGAATGAAAAACGACTCTGATTTTTCTAGATTTTTGTTGATTCATGATGTGATTTATCCACATACTTTATGGATTACTGTTTCCCGAGCATTTGGAAAAGATCAGAAATATAGTGATATTATGTGTAGATTTGAAATTGTCTAATGATGTTGAACTATGTCATTTTTGCGATCTTTTGTACAAAAGTCGTACAACACACATCGTTCTCCATTGTCCAAAAACTGTAAGTCTTGGGGATGATCTCTGGTGCCATTTTTTTTCTGATTGCTTGAAAATAAATTAATGTGTATTTGCATTCGCTCTCTGATTTTGATCCAATTCATATACTGCTTAATGGTGCTCCTATCGTCAGAATGGGCCAAACTGATTACGAAATGTTTATTTTAAACTGTTCATTTTTCATCGATAAAATGCTCAGATTGTACTACAGATAAGATGTTACTTGGATAAAAATGTATGTTATAATGAACGTCTATCATGTCATGCTATACAAAGGACAAGTATACTAACATTGTCAATTCATACTTTCACTTTACGATAACAAATGCGTTAGTATCCTCGTATATATATACATGTATTTATGAGGTTATTGGAATCAACTTAATTTGCGTTAATCAATTGTACATATGAACTTTAAGAGCAAATAAAGGAATGATAATAAAGGTCAGTTTAGCCCGCTGTCGTGGTAATCTAACCCATAGTTTCATGTTCCAGTTCCAAGAGTGATCCTACATCTAACGAATCATCGCAATCAGCATTCCAATAAAGTGAAAACAAAACCGTTTACTAATTTTCTAACATTTAGCTGCGCTTCATCGGTGTTGAAAAATATTATGATTTACAGTGATATTAAGGACAAAAGATGGCACCATGATCACCCAATGTATAGATAAATGGTAATAACGACACACTTAACATTTAGCTCATAAATAACATCTTGCGCAGTGAACACGCGTTATCATAATTATACACTCCAAGACCTGCGTCCAACACGTGAAACCGAAAAACATGTCCATTTAGACATTTAGTCAGGTAAAATGAACTACCACAACGATTACGCTTATAGATAATACAATCAGGTATGTGTATTTTTTTTATATATTTTCTCATCAAAATAAAAATCTTACCTTCTTTCTGGATCTTCTTGACATCCTTGATTTATTAAACGATTTCTAGATACCAAGTGTCCACTTATATCTCGAAAAATATACTTCATCAAATTAAAAAAAGCAGAAGTCTGTCCCCTACCCTATGAGCATGGATCTCTAGCGCTGAATTGTGTAGCGGGTATAGTATGTACACCTTCTCTGCACGTTCAACCGTGAATTCAAACAGCAATAGGTCTACCTAAGACAGAAAGGTAAGCCTTTTTCGTATATAATTTAGTGGCGTGTATGACGTCATCATTTTTGTTTGCTAAACATTTCTGTATATTTTATGGCAACGCATTATAACATGGATCGAGTGCTAGAAGTGAAGTAGATAAGGAAGAGGATCAGATGACATGAAAGAAGAGAACCTGAATTTACTTGTACATTTTAACAAAATGGTAATAATTAACAATATAGTTGTTAAGAACATGAAATCAGCGTCTTTTTGACTTCTTAGAGGTCTAGACGACAACATGTATTAACTGTAGGTACGAGTGAATTTTCGTAAAACACGTGTGCCAGCAGTTGAAATAATTTTTTTCTTCTTTTTTCAAAAGCATGTGAGCGAGAATTAAAAACAAACGGTAAAGATTAACCAGGAAACATTATTTCCTAGATAGTGATTTATGAAGAAATGTAATAAACCAATCGCAGTACGTTATCTACAAAAACAGCAATCACAGTTCGTCAGCTGCAAACGAACCAATCACAGTTCGTCAACTGCAAACGAACCAATCACAGCTCGTCAACTGCAAACGCACCAATCAAATGGTGGAGGAACACCATGGAGTTTGTAAACTGAGAGAACCTGAGGGGCAAGAAGATGTAATTCAACAACAGCCACGCCAACAACATCAACAACAGCCACGCCAACAACATCAACAACAGCAACGCCAACAACATCAATAACAGCCACGCCAACAGCATCAACAACAGCCACGCCAACAACATCAACAACAGCCACGCCAACATCAACAACAGCCACGCCAACAACATCAACAACAGCCACGTCAACATCATCAACAACAGCCAGGACAACAGCATCAACAACAGCCACGCCAACAACATCAACAACAGCCACGCCAGCATCATCAACAACAGCCACGACAACAGCATCAACAACAGTCACGACAACAACATCCAAGACAACGTCATCAACAACAGCCACGAAAACAACACCAACAACACCCATGACAATATCATCAACCACAGCCACGCCAACATTATCAACAACGGCCACGACAACATAATCAGCAAATTCCACGATAACATCATCAACAACAGCCACGACAACATAATCAACAACAGCCACGACAACAACACCAACATCCATGACAACATCATCAACAGCAGCCACCCCAACATAATCAACAACAGCCACGACAACATAATCAACAACAGCCACGACAACAACACCAACAACATCCACGACAACATCATCAACAGCAGCCACCCCAACAACATCAACAACAGGCACGACAACAAAATCAACAGCATCCACCCCAACATTATCAACAACATCCGCGACAACATAATCAACAACAGCCACGACAACAACATCAACAACAGACACGACAACATCATCAACAACAGCCACGACAACATTATCAACAACAACCACGAAAACATCATCAACAACGGAAACGACAATATCGTCAACAACAGCCACGACAACATAATCAACAACAACGACAACATTAGCAACAACAGCCACAACATAATCAACAACAGCCACGACAACATTATCAAAGCAGCCACGACAAAAACATTAACAACAGCCACGACAAGATCTTCACCAACGGTAACGACAACATCATCAACAACAGCCATGACAACATCTTTACCAACATCCACGACAACATCATCAATAACAGCCACGGCAATATAATCAACAACAACCACGACAACATCATCAACAACAGCCACGACAATATAATCAACAACAACCACGACAATATTAGCAAGAACGGCCACCCCAACATCATCAACAACAACGACAGCATTAGTAACAACAGCCACGACAACATAATCAACAACTGCCACAACAAAAACATTAACAACAACCACGACAAAATCATCAACAACGGCCAAGACAACATCATCAACAATTTTTTGAAAACAATACATAAAATTACGAAGAAGTACAGTTGGATACAGAAGAGGTAAAAAACCAAAAATCCACAACAAAACTAACAGGAGGGCGAAAAAGTAAATATCAACCCGGAGAAAAAAGTAAATATCAACCCGGAGGTTTTTGAAAACAACATATCTGTGTAAGGCTGTGATAGAATTATGTATGTCGGCTAGTCGAGCGCTAGAAGTGTTAATAGGAAAGTCTATTTCATCTGGCGTTACATCCTCGAAATTCCAGAGGTTACGATCACTGTCGATCTGATGGTATGACGTACTGTGTTTATACTCAGCTGTAGAACCAATGCTTATGTTCTTAGTGCTATAAGGGGAATCAAGATGCGTTCGGTTATAAACACTGTGCAAAACAAGCAGGTTGCTTCTACCTAGGTGTTGGAAAATATACCTCCATTATCACTACCAGCGATGATATGGGGTGCGTTCGTGTATCTATAAACAAAGTGGTTCGAGTGTGAAACCATTGTTAAATGCTACAGTACAACGTCTATGAGACGTTATGGACACAGTTAAGCTAAATCCAATTCAAACGTCAGCAAAATTTGTATTAAAACACTCTTGTCGAAAGTATCACTAAAGTATAGTCGTGAATGGCAAGCTCAGATATATGACGACTGTAATAATGTGAGCGAAAAACAAGCTTCACACTTCAGACAGTTTGAGAATGACGTTTTGTTGAACGTTGCGTCCAAATGGACATACCAAGACATCACAAGGCTCACTTCCTCTGGCCTGTTGAGACGGGATGATACGCCAGGCCACCCGATGTACAGACTTTGTTCCAAATGTGACCAGCGTAAAGTGGAAGATGAAAAACATTTTCTGATAGAAATCAAATCTATATGATGACATAAGAAACTACCTTTCTGAAAAATGCTTTTCTGTCATTGACGGTTTCTATGAAATTGGACAGGGATAATAAATCATAAAGATAATAAAAAATAACGATCTCCAGCCAGCAATTCCAAGCTTTATTCCGATTGTCTTTCAAACGACACTATCAACGACAGGAAGGTGATGTGGTCGAGTTTTTTTAAGAAAGAATAATCCACAAGAGTTTTAAAAATATTTATCGAAATATGAAAATAGATCATTCCAATCTAAACTTCGTATTGATGAATTTTAAAAATATTTTAAGAGTTGGCAGTAACACTGGTGATATTGATGCTGTTACACAGTATTCATATTATGACGTAGATATGACAACATTTGAAGAACTAGATGAAACCATTTACAAAACATGCAGTTCATAATGCAATCCAAAATCTGAAAAGAGATAAAATATGTAGTGGAGATTTGATTTTTGATGAATTTTTCATAGATCGTGAAGACATTATGATCCCTTGTATCACGAACCTTTTCAGCTGAATATTTGAATCGGGTTTCTTTCCGAAAATGTGGTCACGGAGCTGCATTGTCCCACTTTACACAAACAGGGTGATATCAATGAAATTGTTAATTTACTGAAGTTTTAAATAGAAGACTTGTACAATGGGACAAAGAAACATTCTATTATTACTGATGTTCATTCTGGTTTTAAAGCTGGTCACTCAACTGTAGATGATATGATTGTACTTAAGTCATTTAATGATTGATCTATAAGTAAAACAAAATGTTATACTGTTGTTTCGTTGATTACAAAAAGACTTTCGACCTTATAGATAGAGGAAAGTTAACTAATCAAACATGGAGTTCATGTAAATTGTTAAAGATTACGCAACTTGTAAGAAAATATTAAATACAACTGTTGTATTTCAGAATATTTTTGAACAGATTCGGTCTCTTCAAAGGAGAAATTAGCTCACCAATTTTATCCAATTTATTTGTCAATGACTGTGAAATGAATTTTATAAAAGAAAATTGTCAACCGGTTGGAATTGGTATGATATCATTATTTTTACTGATATACTCAGATGTTACAGTTCTTACTGAATAAACACTACCTGCTCTACAATCTATGTTAGAGGCTTTATATAACAATAAATGGAAGCTTACCTTTAATGTAGAAAAAGGTAAAATTGTAGTTTGAAGGAATGGTGGTATTGTAAAACATGACGAGAGATGGTTTTATGACAAAAGCGAAATTGAGGTTGTTAATGGATTTTATCAAATTCAACAAGTAGTAGCAGAAAAGGAAAAGAAAACCTATTTTGCATTATTCGACACCTGTGTAAAAGGTTTATCGGAGTATGCAAGTGAAGTATGGAGTTTTCGTAAAGCCTAAGAAATTGAAAAGGTTCATACACATTTTTGTAAAAGAAACCGCAAGATGTGGGTAAAAATGTAATGACATTGTATATTAGGAATTAGGTCAACTTCTAATAACAGAGCAAGGTTGATATAGGTGATTGAATTGGTTAGGGTAGTTATGGAATAAATGATACACGTGTGCAAGAAAAACATTCTCCAACAAGAACATTGTAATCAGCATTAAGTAGATAATTATGGGCTACAATATTACCAGAAAAAAACTATCGACCAGTTGTATAAGAATAGTATTACATGTATTCGTCTAAGTTCTCATAAGTTTGATATTGAAAGTGGAAGATACAATACTGCATCAAGGGCCAATTGAGTTGGTACATTATGTAACATTCATAACATTGAGGGTGTGTTTCACTTTATACTTGAGTGTCCTTATCCAGATTTACGGATGAGATACCTGAAGTCATATTACTTTCGTCGTTCCAGTGTACTCAAACTTGTTCAATTGCTCAGTGTTAATAACATAAAAGATTTGCGTAATTTTGGTAAATACCTAAGAATGGCTTTGAAGAAGTACTCTCAGTTATTGTAATGAAATTACTATATTGTGTTTGTTTGTGGACGATATTATAACAGATACTATAGTCACTCTCCTGTACATCATCGCTTTGTTAAACACGTTAATTTGTATCAATATTGTGTATCGTATGTTATTACCCTATGAGTATTACGGACCACCCTCTGTCATCCTCGAGGTCAATTAGGAGCATTTGTAATCTGTATTTTAATGCTGTTCTGGCAGAAATCTACCGAATACAAATATACATTGTTGCAAAATTTATGGTGGTATAAGTTACCTTTTTAAATGTTTTTAACCTTGAATCTGCATGTGCTATCGAATGATTTTGAGAAAAGATTATCGACAGAAACTAAAAATGAATTATTTAATGTCATACTTCAGTGTAAATATAAACTGCTAAAACTACAGCATTATAGTATCATAATTTTATAGTAACACTGAAGTATCAACAATTTATAGTAATAACTGAAATATCACCACTTTACAGTAACACTGAAATATCACCATTTTTAGTAACACTGAAATATCATCACTTAATAGTAACACTGAAGTATCACCACTTTATAGTAACACTGAAATATCATCACTTAATAGTAACACTGAAGTATCAACAATTTATAGTAATAACTGAAATATCACCACTTTACAGTAACACTGAAATATCACCATTTTTAGTAACACTGAAATAACACCATATTATAGTAACACTGAAGTATCATCACTTTGTAAAAACACTGAAGTATCAATATTTTATAGTAACACTGATGTATCACCACTTTACAGTAAAACTGAAGTACAATAATTTTTTAAGAAACACTGAATCATCACCATTTTATATTAAAATTAAAGTATCACCACTTCATAGTAACACCGAAATATCACCATAATATTGTAACACCGACATATCAACACTTTATAGTTACACTGAAGTATTACCGTTTTGAATAACACTGAAGTATCACCACTTTATAGTAACAATGTAATATCATCACTTAATAGTAACACTGAAGTATTACCGTTTTGAATAACACTGAAGTATCACCACTTTATAGTAACACTGAAATATCATCACTTAATAGTAACACTGAAGTATTACCGTTTTGAATAACACTGAAGTATCACCACATTATAGTAACACTGAAATATCATCTTTTAATAGTAACACTGAAGTATCACAACTTTATAATAACACTGAAGTATCAACAATTTATAGTAATAACTGAAATATCACCACTTTACAGTAACACTGAAATATCACCATTTTTAGTAACACTGAAATAACACCATATTATAGTAACACTAAAATATCATCACTTAATAGTAACACTGAAGTATCACAACTTTATAGTAACACTGAAACATCACCACTTTATTGTAACATTGAAGTATCACTACTTTAAAGTAACACTGAAACATCAACACTTTGTAGTAACACTGAAACACCACCACTTTATTGTACCACTGAAGTATCACCACTTTATGATAACACTGAAATATCACCACTTTATAGTAACACTGAATTATTACCACTTTATGATAACACTGAAATATCACCACTTTAGAGTAACACTGAATTATCACCACTTTATAGTAACACTGAAGTACCACCAATATATAGTAACAATGAAATATCATAACTTTATAGTAACACTGAAGTATCGCCACACTGAATTATACACGCCAGTGAATGTATCTGTGTTACACACCAGTGAATGTATCCGCTTACTAATAAATTGATGAACGAAATAGTTAAATATTTAGATATCATTTACAATGATAAAATACAACATAGTTCATAAAGTTGGAATTTCCAGTACATCACTTTCCAGTCTTTGACGCGATCGTTGTGCATAAAACGGCGATGACACCACGGCGATAGATTGAAGTCCGTAGTAACACATGGGTATATGTGGATGATATGTCGGTGTGTGTCTTGTTAAAATCTTGCAAAGTTT